AATGTAGGCAATTATAACACAATGGTGAGTATTTGTCTATCTGAACATAGAAAATGTACGGTAAAAATATGGTGTTATAATCTTACAGAATCATCGTTATTTATGTGGGATCTTTTGTTGACCAAATCATCATTATGCATTATGTAGCACACGAGTGTAGATTGATAAAATTATGACCTCAGGGTTAGGAAGGATTTCTTAAACAGAAAGCACAAACAGTTAAGGAAATAGTTGATAAAGATGCCCACCTTAAAAGCTTCTCTTCAGCAAATCACACCATGAACAAAATTAGAAGATAAGCTATAAGCTGAAAGAAGATATTTGCAGTGCACATAAGTGATAGAGGATGAGTTTACAGGATTATTCTTTCCATAAATTTCTATAAATCAATTTTTTAAAAAAGAAAACCTAGGGAAAAAATGGGCAGACTTGAACAGTCCATAAAATATCTCATAAACATATGAAAATATGTTGAATCTTATTAACGATTATATTAGTTGATACAGTATATATTTTGTTACAGCATATTAGTCAGCTTTTGTGTTGGCAACAAATAGTCCCAAAATCTCAGTGCTGAAGTGGAGGCTTAAGGAAGAACAACAAAACAATATAAGCCAGGTTAAAGTTTCTACTGAAAAGTAACATATATCATCTCTGCTCACATTCTGTTGACCAAAGTAAGTCACATGTGGTCGTGCCTGAAGTCAGTAGGGACAGGGTAGTATTCCTACAGGAAAAGGGTGTGGAAGGAACGAATAATTGGAAACAGATCATAGAATCTGTCCCCTTTAGTAACAACCCAAAAAATCTTAATAGCTAAACAATAAGGTCATGCTAAATGATGATTTTGGGCTCTGTCTGGGATCTGTACCATGTCACTCTGATCCTTAAGTCAGGACCCAGGACAAAGCAACCATTCTCTTTAATATTGTTATTCTCAGTAGCCAAGGGAAAAGAAAGAACATGGTGAAGTATACACTGACTCTAAAAACCTTCCCTATAAAAGGGTCACGTGAGACTTCTCATGTTACATTGGCCAAAGCAAGTCATATTGCCCAAGGCTGAGTCCAGCAGAACAGTGATGTATGATCTTCTTGTAAGGAGGGAAAGGATATTTGTGAATGATAGTAAAGTCTATCACAATAATACAGTCTACCACAATAACTATAATAAGATAAATGTTTCATACTCAACAGATTGACATAAAAAGTACAACAAAACCAAATGTTGTTAAGATTGAGGGGGATATAGGTATTATGATCTGCTGGTAGGATTCTAATTGCTGTAAGCACTCCAAAGAGCAGTTGACAGTGTCTAAATAAACTGAAAACATGTATCCCATACGACCCCACGTTTCTACCATTGCTAGAACTTTTACACATGTGCACATGAGACATTTATAAGAATATTATAGCATT